GGAGAAGTTTATAACAGGAAATGTCGTGGCGGGTTGCATTAAATAATAAATCTGTAAATAACTTTGCTATTGTTTATTTATTTTTTGCCGATGACATGTACTAAACCTCACCACAAATGTTTTAAATTGAACAGAACAAACAAACAACATAAGAGATCCTGTTAGTATGGCTATTGAGATCTCCCTCCAAACATCAAACTGGGCCAATAATAATTCTTAATTCGTGATGCATTCATACATGGTGCGGGTGAACCACACATCTTTTAATGAAGAAGCGCAATTATCTTCCAGCTTTGTTATAGCTCTCGGTGTATAAAAAGAGAGAATCTAATCAGGCACAATAACACACCCACAGGATCATTATTTCCTGCAACATAAATAGGGGCTGAATGATGCGTCTGCGAAACACAGTGTGTTGGATGTTTCTTCATTTTATTGAATATAAAGCTTTCAGTGTGCTCGCAAATCCTAATGTGAACATTAGCCAAATAACTTGTTATTGCTAATTCCAAAGACATTGTTTGCTAAGATGTAATTACCCCAGTAAGTACAATCTACGCTGAAAGCTAAGAGCACTCGGAAATCCATATGTGGCGGGAGTACTCGGGCCTGTAATCCTTGGAGCACAGCAAAGTTTGGGCGTTTAAAGTAATCATAAGTACGGGCACATTGTGGCTTGATGGCTGCCTGTCAGGATTACTGATCCAGCACGTAAAATTGTATCACAACTAGGACTAAAAGGTAGCGTCTTACCGGGCCTTAGAATGGCCGGACTTAATGTACCAAAGAATAGTCAGGATACTTGGCTAAGGTCAGGGACACAGAATGGGACGCAACGATAAGGGAAAGCCAAAAGTCAAGGACGTCAAACAAAGCCAAAGTCAAATACCAGAAATAAACGCTCAGGAACACACTCTCGGACAACGACTAAGGGAAACCACGACAGGGCAATGAGGAAAAGTAAAATTGCGTTTAAATAAGCCCTTAACAAATTTCATTGGCCGAAATCAGCCTTTGACCCCAGAACGGTCGCGCTTGTCTACCGCGTGACGTCACACGCACGCTGACGTCGTCATCAATGTGGGCGGACGTAGGGCTATAATACATGTTACAGCAGTCAGTTATACAGATACACGGGCGCTGAGCGCAAATGCCGCAAGATGAGGAGGAATATGTTACACTGCCCTGATAAAAGCATGAATAAAACCATAAATAGCTGTAATTTTAAAAGAGACCCAATTAACTTTACAGTCAGTAATGGAGCATATGCAAGGGGTGCCCATCGTCGGCCCCCTGGATTTTGTTGAACTTCAACCCACAAAATTACAAAAAGGGTTTAAGACTCTCTCGTTAATGTGATTTAAGAGAGAATCCTATCTTTGCGAACATCGCTAGCGGCTTATGCCAGGGTTGAGTACAAACTCTTTGAGTATGAATTGGAGTGCCGAGAAAAACAAGATGGCGGAAACCGAAATCACAAAATGGAGGAGATGTGGAACATCTTAAAGAGAAGCATGAGAAGCAGTAGACGCTAAAAGCCATGATGCACGTTGGGATCCAGTCCTTTAGTCAGGGCTTGGAGGCGATTTAAGAAGTCAGAAATCTGGTATCAGAATAAGGTAGAGTAGGAAGAGGACAGTAGCCGGAACCAATGGAGCTCCCAGCGGGTTGGGCTCCAGGGATGCAGTAGTTATGGTGCTTGAAGTGTTCCTTTCAAACCGTTATATTTTTATTTTGTCAGTTAATATTTTCTTACAGTCAAATTCAACAATGCACACTATATTTGTCAGCTTTCTGTGGGTGTTTATTTTGAACGTCACAAAGCAGCTAAAACGAATAAATACATAAAAATCTCAACATATCCGTCTCCCTGAAAAAAAAAATATATATATTTATATGCAGAACCTCCACAGTGGTTCAGAATTAGGATTTTTTTTTTTAAGTTATATTTTGTGTTGAATTTGGATTTGATATTAGTAAGAATTCATCATTACGCGGCTGTCAGGATTAATTTCCTACGGCGGTAACATTCAGAATCCATTCGCCACGCTAGATAAAAATATTCCAATCATGCACAGGTTTATGATTCTATGAATGAACACGACATATTAAATATTTAATTACGAATTAACTGAGAGACTAATTTAGTTTCTTTATTGGGTATTTTTGTTTTGCATTTTCAATATGACAAGAACGTTGTAGGACTTTATATATCAGGTTTAAAGGGACACTCCATTCACCAACACGCCTTTCAAGTACTTTATATTTTTTGGCCTGAATAATAAGCTGTATTATTTGCACGCTCAGTTTGGAAGGGGTGAGGGGAGGGATTTTTTTTAGCATTTTGTATGTATTGATAATCTCGACGAATCCAGTTCTTTGCCACAGGAAAACATTGGGGGGGCTAGTGCGCATGCGCGGCAAAACGCCACACCAGACAGGTGGTCTCTCGGAGACGATCTGATGGAAATAGTGGAGTTTTACTGCACTGTTTAATGGAAGTGACAACTGGCTGTCATTATATAATTACTGTAAATACAATGGAAAAGATAATAGTGAACAGAGGAGAAATAGATGGTTGCGGACAATATGGCTGTGGGAACGAGGGGGGAATGGAGGACTTGTAGGCGATATTGGGTAATATTGGAAGGGCATTAGCGTAACACTGGGTTGGAAAATATGAAAAATTAATATATAGAGTTTGTGTGTATATTTATATATATATAAAATTATATTTACATTTTTAGACTGAATATAAATAGTTTTCCTGGACAATAAAACCCAATATGATTTTTTTTACAGTTCAATTGATTAATTACATTTCACTATATAAATAAGAATTAAAACATTTGCCACTTTGCCAGATGAAAGCTGCTAATGCAGCCGCCCGCCCGCACGACATCCGTCCACCAGAACCATAAAATTCTACCAGGTTTCACATATCACGTTGTAGGAAGCGCGGCCGCCCGGCTGCTGTGTTGTCACGTGAAAGGGCGGGGCTGACCTACATTGGGCCAATCGGAGGCAAGGAGCGGAGAAAGCCTCGAATCCCTGGGAGAATCACGTGGGGAGCGCGCTGTCTGGAGGCCGCCAGGGAGCGCGCGCTGTCAGTCTGGGGGAGCGGGAGCGCGCAGTGTTTTGCTGGGGGAAGCGGCCGCGCGCGCTGTCAGCCGGGCTATAGTCGCGGGAGCGCGCACTCATAGAGATTACAGTAAAATAAAACCAATCGGTTTAATAAAGTACAGATCTAAAACCCTCCACCGTGGCACCATCTGCAGTGGCACATTCAGAAATTACGCCTTCCACTGTTGCACCCTGTGCTATGGCATCCTCCACCGCGGCACCCTCCACCGTGGCACCCTCCACCGTGGCACCCTCCATTATGGCATCCTCAACCGTGGCACCCTCCACTATGGCATCCTCCATTATGGCATCCTCAACCGTGGCACCCTCCACTATGGCATCCTCCATTATGGCATCCTCAACCGTGGCATCCTCCACTATGGCATCCTCCACTATGGCATCCTCAACCGTGGCACCCTCCACTATGGCATCCTCAACCGTGGCACCCTCCACTATGGCACCCTCCACTATGGCATCCTCCACCGTGACACCCTCCACTATGGCATCCTCCACCGTGGCACCCTCCACTATGGCACCCTCCATTATGGCATCCTCAACCGTGGCACCCTCCATTATGGCATCCTCCACCGTGGCACCCTCCACTATGGCAACCTCCACCGTTGCACCCTCTGCTATGGCATTCTCCACCATGGCACCCTCTGCTATGGCAACCTCCACCATGGCATCCTCCACCGTGACACCCTCCACTAAGGCATCCTCCACCGTGACACCCTCCACTATGGCACCCTCCACCGTTGCACCCTCTGCTATGGCATCCTTCACCATGGCACCCTCCACTAAGGCAACCTCCACCGTGGCACCCTCCACTGTGGCATCCTCCACCGTGGCACCCTCCACTATGGCATCCTCCACCATGGCACCCTCCACTATGGCACCCTCCACCGTGGCACCCTCCACTATGGCATCCTCCACCGTGGCACCCTCCACTATGGCATTCTCCACCATGGCACCCACCGCTATGGCAACCTCCACCATTGCACCCTCTGCTATGGCATTCTCCACCATGGCACCCACCGCTATGGCAACCTCCACCATGACACCCTCTGCTATGGCATCCTCCACCGTGGCACCCACCGCTATGGCATCCTCAACCGTGGCACCCTCCACTATGGCACCCTCCACTATGGCACCCTCCACTATGGCATCCTCAACCGTGGCACCCTCCACTATGGCATCCTCCACCGTGGCACCCTCCACTATGGCACCCTCCACTATGGCATCCTCCACTATGGCATCCTCAACCGTGGCACCCTCCACTATGGCACCCTCCACTATGGCACCCTCCACTATGGCATCCTCAACCGTGGCACCCTCCACTATGGCACCCTCCACTATGGCATCCTCAACCGTGGCACCCTCCACTATGGCATCCTCCACCGTGGCATCCTCCACTATGGCACCCTCCACTATGGCACCCTCCACTATGGCATCCTCCACCGTGGCACCCTCCACTATGGCATCCTCCACCGTGGCACCCTCCAC